GCCACCCTGTGACTGCCACTACCCCCTTCCTTATTACTTGTCCATACTTAGGATTCATCAAAGAATAGAACAACCAGCTTTTTTTTCTTTTAATTATAGTATTTTATTGTGTTTTTGGTAGAAGCATATCCTTTCCCAGTTACCAATTTCTATATATAGTATTCAGTGACATTGATTACGTTTTTCACAATGTGTCAGCATTCTCCTTATTTCTGTTCTGGTTGTTCCATGTCCATTAATCGAGCTTTTCTGCTCCCCCACCTTACCTTCTTATCTTTGTTTTAGGGTAAATGTTGACCTTTTGGCCTTATTTTTTTGAAGGAGCACAGTTCTCCTGAGTGATACTGTTTATTTTATGAACCAATCTGTTACTCAGCTGACAAATGACCTCTGGGTGTGGTTTCAGTATAAAGTTTAAAGGGTATCTCAGAGCTGTAGTCTTGGAGAGGGTTCCTTTAATTTCCACCAATCCAGTAAGTTTATCTTGTTTAAGAATTTGAGTTTTGTTCTACATTTTTCTCTCGTCCTATCTGGGACTAGCAGTTGTGTCCCTAGTGAGAACAGTCATCATTGGAAGCCAGGCACCAGCTGGTTCTGTGGTTTCAGGATAGATGAGGTTGTGGTTGCTGTGGCTGTTAGGCCTGTAGACTAGTTTCTTCATGGAGTCTTTGGTTTTGAGCAACCAGTTTTTGTCTTCAAACCAAGTCCTGCCTCTATTTTGGGTGACTTCTTTGTCCATTTGAAAAACCGAACTTTGTTTGTTCCAGTGATATTTACTTCCAGTTCCATTGGGACCATTCTCCTATGGCTATTGGTAATGCCTCAGGAATTGATTCTGACATAATTCTTCCATCTATGAAATCTTCAACCTGGGTGTTTCCTCTCATTTTCTTTGTAAACCAACTCTTTGACCTTTGTTTGCTGGGTCTGTCTTTTGTCTGTGTTTTGTGTTCACTTCCTTTCCTAGATCCGTGCTGCCTGTCACTTCACCACTGCAATATGGTGGCATCTTGTCTTTCTGACCTGTCCTGCAAACCTCCTCCATCCCAGACCAATACAAATGTTTCATTCTTTTTCACGTTTGTTGTGAATAAAGTGAAATTAAAAAAGAGAACTTACTACAATAATTTTACTGTTAAGATTCCTCCCAACTCTGTTGTGCCTTCAGTCCCCCACAACTGGACAAATTCTACCCTCTAACATGTAGAGCAGGACTTTTAAGTCTGCTCACATCTCAGGTGTGGAGATATCAATTTAACTAATTTTATTCATCTATCTTAACATTTATATGTCTACTTAGAAATTGTGTTTACGTTATGTATTAGGCCATTTTCATATCACTTATAATTTTGGTTCTTCTTCTCCTGGCTAGGAACGGGATTTTCCAACAGAAACTGTTAAATTTGGTCCTGAACGCATGTATATTGATTGTTGGGTCAAAAAACACACCTATGA